TCAACGACCCGCGCGCCCCCCCCCCCCCCCGCGTTTTCCGGCACATCTGACCGGGGTCAATGTTTCCCAAACATCCCTGCCAGGGATAAAGAGCCAGAGGAAGGCATTTGCAGAAGAAGATCATCAGGCAAGAAGAGGAAGTACATCATTATTCTGACATACTCACTGATTCTCCCTGCAAATGCTGCCCAAGGTCACTTCCCCCCACAAACTGGGCTCCTTCCAACCTCAGGCCTCAAGGGAAAACACAGTTTACAAAACAATGCTGGAGGGGCAAGGTCACCATTTGCAAGAGAATCAGAGGGTGCAGAAAGGGTCAAGCATCCCATCCAGACCATGCAAATGCCCCCCCCCCCATAAATTAGCATTCTGAAACAAACACAAGGTCAGGAGCCCAATGCCTGCTTTCTAATGTGCAATTCCATCCGCAAAGACTGCACACAGAAACAGTGATGGACTCTGTTCCTTGCAGTCCCCTCACAGATTACTGTAGTGTGAGGTTCAAATCTCACATCTTTCATAACCACTTGCTGAAGTTTGAGTCCAGTGGCACCTTCAACAAAATTTTATTCGAGGTATAAGCCTTTGGGTGCATGCACACTTCTTCAGATACAGACCACTGTTTCCAGGTCTGCCCTGGGTCCTGTCAAACAGATGAGTGCTGGGAGTTCTATGTTGAGATTTAGTTCTCAGGAATACAGGGGCTCAATTTAGATCAGGACTATGGGAAGAAAACGCCAGAAATAGTATATTGTATAGATAGGACCTCAGTGTCCCCTCCCCTCCCACAAGTGTACTATTAACTACCCACATTACAGGGTTCTTATAAAGATTACAACATAAGGTACATGAAACTAATGACAGTTTAATCCACTATACAAATGCTAAGTGTTATTAAGCAGAATCCCAGCATGCAGAGAAAAGAGCTAGAAAGAGTACCCACATGACAAGGTTATAGTTTTCATCCTTCAGGCCTGCTGCTCCCAGTTCTTCTATGTATCCAAGGATGAAGTTTACATTGGGATTCTGGTAGTCAAATTTGTTCATGTGATAGTCAATGTACTTCTTTGCCACTTCTACCTGAAGAAGGGAAGTAAAGTAACCAAAAGAATGGAAAGACAAAGTAAAGAAATGTTGCTTAAAATAAATGTTGCTTCATATTTACTGTTGCTACACCATGGGTTGGTTATCACTAATCTTCAAGGATCAGTTCATTAATTCCATTCCCACTGCCTTCTTGATGCCAGGCTACCAGCTTGCCCTTTCCTCTCCCGACTATTATCCAGATATACTATGGTTCCAGTTATGCTTGCTGTATTTTTTTCCCAGTCTGCATACAGCAGTATAAATATTCCACTAGATCAGCCTAGGGTCTGGATTTGGCTTCTATAATAGGTAAAGGTAAAGGTTTCCCTTGCTCAAAAGCGGGTTGAATCCGACTCTAGGGCTGCGGTGCTCATCTCCGTTTCCAAGCCAAAGAGCCAGCGCTGTCCGAAGACTCCTCCGTGGTCATGTGGCCTGCATGACTAAACGCCAAGAATGCTTCTATAATACTTTGCTACAATTTTTTCAATTGGTTCAAAAGAACCTGACTCATGAGGTCATTGTCTGTCCTTCATCGCAACCACCCCTTATAAAACAGTATACCGCTTTTCTTTGTCCAAGTTGTTATTCAGAACAATACCTATATGCAATGCAGCTTGCCAGAAATCAATAGAAACATGCTTGTTTTGCTCCCCGAAAAATCATTAACAGTTTCTCTAACCCAGGGGTGTCAAACATGCGGCCCGGGGGCCAGATCAGGCCCCCGGAAGGCTTCTATCAGGCCTGCAGTGGAACTGGCTATCTTTTGCTTCCTCTTCCAGTTTTGTTGCTGCTGCATCATCATAGGTTTGCAGCTTACAGACACACACCTGAACAGCATACTCAAGATTGCAACAGCACAGACATTTTGATGCAATAATTCAGAGGAAAATGTGTCAGTTATCAGACACTGTTAAATAAACAAAATATTGCAAGAGTGCTAAAGTTTTAAGCATGTTTTTATTTTAACTAAAAAAAACGCTTTGTGTTTGTATCCTTTATAAAGTTTATATGTCCACTACCTGGCATGACATTTTATAACACACATGGCCCGACCCAACAAGGTCTCATTTATATCAGATCCGGCCCGCATAACAAATGAGTTCGACACCCTTTCTCTAACCTATCTATCCATCCAGTGCATTTTTAGCCCATGATTCCTCCAAAGAGCTTAGGGCAGCCTACATGGTTCTTACTTCCTCATTTTGTTCTTACAACAACCCAGGAAGGTAGGTTAAGCTGAGAATGTGTGACCAGCCCAAGGTCATCCACTTAGTTTCATAGCCAAGGGATCCTGATTCAACATTGTCCCAGGCCCCAGTCCAACCATTACAACACACTGGCCCTCCAATTTAACCTTCTGTCATGTCAACTCCTCCCCTTCTACTAAACAGAGGGCAAGCAGCTGCACATTTCCCTTTATAACTCCACAATATAAAGGGATAGAGACATTGTTTTTAAAACAAAGCTGGGAACTAGTAAAGTGTGGCAATAGATATTATAATACTATAGCAATCTAAGAATTCTTGATTTTTTTTTAAATCCTAAAAAATACTCCAGTACATGGGGGGAATGACAGACTAGGGGTGAAGGCAAGGAAAATGATGCTGATGTGAACAGAACCTGCAAAAATGCACACCTTTGTATCCAAAGGTACTTTAACAATGATCTTTCCAAAAGAAAACCAGGTTTCCAAGAAAAGAATCCCTATTAGAAGAATAAACACATTTCATCACAAGCATAGATGTTCCTTTGCAAGATAAGAATATACAGATCTCAGGATCACTTCACACAATGAACATCTACATAGAGATCACTTCTGCATAATAATACTGAGCAAGTGACAAAATAAGCATGTGGTGATGGAGTATGCTTAGTTTACATACACAGAAGCAATAGCTATACAACAGTTTACTGATTTAATGAAAGTAATACAGAATGGAGAATGGGAAACAGAGGTAAAGGGTTACACAAGAGCGGGCTGTACATGGACTGAGGTGCAAGAGTTAACATGGAAAAAGTAAACTAAGAAGAACATTGAGCGGTTGCATCCATCATAAGAAGAGTCAACAGCCATGCCCTACCTACTTCTCACAATCGACAGATAAAATTCACCGCAGGGGGGAGGGGAGTTCCTACCTGAGCTTCGGTCATGTCTATTCCAGTGATATGTCCATTCTCCCCAACCAGTTTACTGAGCATGTAACAATCTCTTCCACTCCCACTGCCCAAATCTAATATCCAACAGTTTTCTACACACTCCGGTATTATCAGGCCACAACCATAGTACCTGGGATAAATAAAAAAAGGAACAACCCAATGTGAAAGGAAATGATGGGATAGAAATGATGTGTCAAGTATAGCAAGAGCCAATCCATAACCACATCACTTCACAAGAGGCATACAGCAGTTATGATTGCACCTGCTTCTTTTTTTACATTCTTTTGCCATAGTTGAACAGGTAAAACCCTAACCATGTAGTTCTATGCAGAATTACTCCAGTCTAACACCACTGAAATCTAGACTCGAGTAATTCTGCATGGGACTGAACTCTTATTCAAGTTTTATTGTATGGCCAAAGTTATCATATTATATATTTCAATAAATTAAATAAATATAATGAAAGACATACATCATGAAAATAGTAAAGCAAGTAGTAAAACAAGTAGTAAAGCACCATACCAATCCTATCCATCATTCTTGCAATTAACATTAATCTTGAAGAGTTTATACAGCAACATGTACAATCTTAATGTCTCATTTATTTTTAATGCAACATTTGATATATAGTCAATCCTGCTGTCTATCAAAGAAAAGACCCAACAGCTCCCTTCTAAATCTTTTTTTATATAATGGGGACATAGAACATTATGTGACAATTTTTCTACCACTGCTCTATCATACTGGCAAGGCCTTTCAGAATATGGGACATTATTAAAACATCCTCTACTTCACAGAGGATCCCATTGCAGTTAGATCGTTAAGTGTCTGAGAATGAAGTAAAGAACTACTAGTTCGTTTATTTACATTATAAACAGCCCACGTTTCTCACTGAAACTCATGGGGGATTACATCTAATCTACAGGATAGGACATACGATAAACAATGCAATAAGATTTGGATTGCAGAAATCTGAAACAGAGCGGAAGCAAAGCATAACCTTTAACATGACACATTAAGCAATACAGAAATTAAGACAGTGGATCAGATATACAGTAACTGCCAGTACTTACTATACACTACAGCATAGTCTACAGTCCCTATCCCTTTACCAGAAGCATCCTCCTGAACCATTTTGTACACCCCGATTACATGTGTATAAATGCCCTCCTGAATAATTCTGTTTTACACAGTTTGCAGAATGTCAGGAGAGTGGGAGTCTTGAGTACCTATGTGCCTAATTAAATGCCATAAGCTCCTTTTTGACATAATAAAGTGTAAGATTATTAAACAGCTATTGTTAGAGGAAAAAGTCATCTCTAATGTTTTCTTTTTCATTTTCCATCGCAGTAACACTGTAGCACCAAGGTGGTGGTGGTAGAGAGTGCCATCAAGTCACAGCTGACTTATGGTGATCCCAGATGGCATTTTCAAGGCAAGAGACAGTCAGAGGTGGTTTGCTGTTGTCTGCCTCTGCGTCACACCCTTGGTATTCTTTGGAGGTCTCCCATCCAAATACTAGCCAGGTCTGACCTTGCTTAGTTTCTGAGACCTGATGAGATTGTGCTAGCTAGCCAGGTCAGAGCCAGCACCAAGGTAGTCTTTCTTTAAAATCTGCATGGATTCTTAGGCTAACAACTTACAATTTGCCCACATCAAGTAAAACTTTAGCTATTTAATATGCCAGTTAAAGTTTTGCAGCCCCAGTCTTTTGTTCTTAATTTACCCTTAACGCCAAAGGATTTAAGAGTTCCCTACTAAGTATACATAAACAAAAATGCCTATGCTTCCCATGATACAACTCAGGAGAGTGAAGCTCAGTCAAAAACCTAATACAGTACTTTGCTGAGATCTCCTCATGCACACATTGGAGTGCCTCTCTGACAAATGCAGGCAAAGGTCTTGTAGTTAGGCAAGCATTGGTTTTCAGATCTGTTGTTTTTGTCACTTCTTTGCTATAGTAATCCTGAGAAGGGAAAAGTAACACCAGTTATAGAACAACAATATTTCAAAATAAATAAACAATTAAAAACAAGGCCTGAAGCAGGGGCAGGAGCCAACTGTTCTACAGTGTTCAGTGGAAACCGATGTCCACACCAAGGTTCTAGATTCAAACCATACTGTTTGGGTCACAAAGTTTGGCAAATACCTTGAATCCAAACAGAAGTACAGTGCAGTCCTAAAATGAGTTACAGTTCTGTAAGCCCGGGGTTAACTTCATCTAAATATGTCACATAAATCAAAATATGTCACATCTAAATATGCCACATACATACAAACTCCAAATCTCCTTGTGAACTACCAGCCTCATGGGAGGGGTGGAGCACTGTCTTTGATGGGTCCAGGACAGAGCGGCTGATTAAACCTATTCTTAGAATATACAAAACTTCTTTTTATTTCAACAACTTTATCCCAAGGTGATGACAAAAACATCTGATAGGCTAGGGCTGCCTACCTCCAGGTGGGGTGTGGAGATCTCCCAGAATTACACTTGATCTCCAGACAACCGTCCCCAGGTCCCCAGGGAGAAAATGGCAGCTTCAGAGGGTGGACTCCATGGCACTGAGGTCCTTCCCATCCCCAAACTCAACCCCAAAACTCCAGGGATTTCCCAACCCAGAGCTGGCTACCCTACACCAGGGTGAATGGGTGGGACAGCCAAGAGACAAACAGACCCATATGATAAATCCGGCCATCAGCACACTAATGCACAGAGACTTCACGGGTTGGATTGGGACTCCCCCATTAGGCTACAGTTGACAGGAATGATCATGCAAGGCATGCATTTTAGTGTGGCACAGTTCCCGGTGCCCAGCCAAATATCCGGTGATTGCTCTCTCACCTGCATCTCATTGTATATCCGTTGAGCAGCCACTACAACGAAACAAAAAGAGCCTGTGTGAGAATATCGTGAAGGTTCCTCCTTACCTAACTGTATTATGGTCCGGGGGAGGAGGGGGGGGGTCCTGAACCTTTATTGTTTGCGCCAAACCACTTCCCCCGAGGCGCGTGCCACGTCCTTTCCACCGCCCTCATCCCCAGAACAGCCTCTAACGAACACAATTTCCCCCTCCCGTTAGAATGCTTCCCCCCCCCTTACTGTCCGTCGTTCTACAACCCGTCCCCAAACTCTGAATCCCCGCAGCCTGGAAGAACACAGATTCCGGTCTGCGGACTCAAGATTAACAAAATGGGCGTGGTCAAGGCGTCCCGTGTTGTGATTCCAGGAGAGGCTAAACCAAGTTGCCGGAAGTAGATGCCATTACTTTCGGTGGAAGACGCTGACCCGGGAGGGGAGCTGCGTCTTTTTCCTCTACGACTTCGCTTCTGCTTTGCAGTACCCCGCACCTGTTTCCTCACTACTGCTAGAGGTTACAGACGTTTCGACTGGATTAATGGGCGTTCAGGGTCCACCGTCTTTGTAGCTTGTGGCCGCGCTCCACTTTCACTGTACTTGCTTTTTGTAGGGGAAAGGAAAGGATCAAAGTCTGGGAAATGAGCCAATGAATCAGGCTCATAGTTCCAAGTGTGAGCCAGTAAGGCATACTGGTTAGGGAATCGAATTATAATTTGTTGTAGCGCCTGAGGGCACCCCCTGTATGCCATAATGAGCTGGGAGGGTGGAAAGGCATGATATACAAATACCAAACTCCTCAGAACAAAGTGTCTACAAACGTTCCTGAGAAACTAAATGTATGTAGATCATGTCAGTAAATTTGTCCACAAGATAGCCTCTTATTGACTGTAGTACAAAAGTTATCCTAGGAACATACTTACCTGTAATGATAACCTGCCACATAATTCCCACCTCCACAAAGCAGTCTAATAAACGGGTCATTTCGTAGAAAAAGAGGTGCAGGAGCTCATTAGCATAACTTATTTGCACATGTTACACCCCGACATCACCGGAAGTGTGTCAGAAGGCAACACCCACCACTCAGGCTCCACTGGACTGTTTTGGATTGCTAGCTATTGGGGGAGGGGGGAACGTACAGATCTGCCCTCGCAGAGGAGGGAGAGCTTGTGCCTGAATAAAACTTGGTCTTAAAGGTGCCACTGGACTGTTTTGGATCGGGGGGCGGGCTGGCTCTGCAACTTACCTGGCTGCTTCTTGCTCTGACTGAGGGCCGCTGGAAGCAGGTGGGGCTTGTTGCATGTGCCCGCCCCCTGGGCTCTTTACTGCCGGAGCTCCGCTCCTGTGCGCTCCTGCAGGAAATGACCCCTGCTAATAAACACTATTGTGCCATTGTACCCCAGTTTGAAAATTTAACCAACATCTTCTAATGGCCTATTTCTTTGATAATGTGGATGGAGGCAAATCAGTAACCAACAGGGAGCAGACAAATTGCAAATACTCAGGTATAAAACCAGAAAATCCAAGTTTACATAAATCAGCCTTTGTAGTGGTTAGAGTGCGGAACTAGGAACTGGCAGAATCCCCACTCCCAAGACACTGTCACCAGGCTAGGGTTGCTAGGCTAGGGACCTTGAGCTAGTCACACTCTCTCATCCTAACCTACCTCACAGGGCTGTGGTGAGGATAAAATGGATAAATGATGTATGTGTAATGTATTCAATAAACTCCCACTGAATGCATAATGTGTGATGAAAACATCTAATTGAAATGCTATGTTAAGCTTCGTCCTGGGCTAGGATCCAAATCCATCCAATCGCATTGATAGCCCAAAAAGAACCAACCAATCACTTGTCAGCAAGCTCCCTGAGCGGGAACGTCTGTGATTGGTCCTTATGCATACAACCTTATTGGTTGGTAATTGTACAGTAGGCGTGGCTAAATTAGTCGGGAGAGTTTAAAAGCAGGACAGCCGCAATGTAAAAGCTGTTCTGGCTATCAGATGTTGATCCGTGTTGGAGTTGTGTTCGAGTTGTGGAATACAGCTGAATCTTTGCTGAATCACTCTCCAACTACTTTGTTAAGCGAGCGACTTAACAGTACGTCACCCTGAGCCCCTTAGAAAGAAGGGGATAAAACTATAGTAAATAAATTTAGGGCCAAACACAACTAATATTCTATTAATTTTAACTCATGAGCACTTGTAAAGACCTTCAGTCCTCTTAATTTCTACAGCATTCGTTAGACAAAGAAGGTCACTACACTTAAAACATGTACCACATATAACATTGCAAGTAATCTCTTTACAAAGTTATATGTTTACAATCAGACTGAGTAAAAAAAAATTACTACCCTTCTCTAGACAAAATGGAAGCTATCTTTACTAACAAATGAAAATGAAAATTCTATCAAGAATTGCATATTATAGGCTCTATCTTGCTTCCAGAACAAATTTCTCACTGGCTGTAACGAAGGCACTCTCAAGGGATAATGCTGTTTAACAGATGGCCCCAGCACCTCTCCAGCTGTATATCTGAAGAGATTACGTGGTCTATAGAGAATTATATAATGAGCCCAAGGCTGCCTAATCAAGAGCTGTAACAGCAGTGAGTGTGACCATGAAGGAACGCAGTTCAAGGCCAAAACAGAGAGCAGGGAGTACATTCCAGACCATGTTCCACAGAGAAAATTCACACACTAGAGTTGTTTCAGCACACCTCACACTTAAGCAACAGATGCTTACTGAAAAGGAGGGAAACATCAATTAAAAGTGAAATTGCTAGCAATTTATTTATTAAAATATTTGTACTTCACTTTCTGAATGTTTTCACCACAGGTGTGTATGTTGTTTTTATACAATGAAGCATACAGAATTTAAGAATTGGCTTGTAAGCCATTAATACAAAATTGAAATAAGTCCCCAGGTATCCAAACAGCATTCAGCAATCTTGGCTCCCACTATCTAAAAATGAAGCAGAGAGAGAAAAGGATCCAGTCCTTTAAATCATGGCTCTTTCCTTGAAAGTAGATTTCTGCCTTCAAGTTTGTTGGTTGCCATCACTTCTGCATCACATTTCAGGGAACAAGTGAGAATATTTAGGAAGGTGTGCTGGGGTTACTATTATAAGATTACTTTTGCCATTTCCTAGCTACCTTAAGAAAAAACAACATGTCATAAAATAAATACAAGGAAGCACCATCTTTTTAGAAAGGGAACACTTGCAATGAGACAATTAACAGATGACTCCCTTTCTCAAGCCAGGGTCTTATGCACCGAGCTACATGTGCCTCTGAGCAAAACAACCATCATCACAATTGGCATGTGAAATTTGGACAAGAACAGTCTCATAGTGCAATTGCTGAAGCAGAACAGGAAACGAAATGGGACTCCACAATTCTTGGGACATGGTTTTCTCCATCAGTTTCCAGCCATTCTTTGGTGCTGTCCATTGCTCTTTTTTCATTTCAAAAGATGGCTCAGTTGGTCACGCAAATTAGAAGACTGTTCAACACTGAAGAAAAGATAGACACGTTCAATAGGTACTCATAGATATTTGGATACATAAGAACATAAGAAGAGTTTTTGCTGGATCATACCAGTGATTCATCTAGTTCAGCACCTCATCTCACACAGTGTCCAACAATAAGATAGAGGCTGAGGCCTTCCTCCAGTGTTGCCACCTAGCACTGGTATTCAGAGATGTACTACTTCCGAACATGGAGGCTCCCTTTAGTCACCATGGCTAGTAGCCATCTATCCTCCATGCAATTATCTAATCACCTTTTAAAGTCATCTATGCTTGCGGGCCATCACTACATCCTTTGGAGGAAAGAAGTATTTTCTTGTGTTTGTCCTGAATCTACTGCCCATGGACTTCATTGGGCGCCCACAAGTTCTAGTCTTTTGGGAGAGGGAGAAAAAGTTTTCTGTATCCTCTCTGTCCCATGCATAATTTCATAAACCTCTATCATGTCCCACCTTAGTCATCTTCTTTTCTAAAGTGAGGAATCCCAGTCTATTTAACCTTTTCCTCATAGGAAAAGTGTTTCGACCTCTTAATCATCTTAGATAATCTGAATGTGGGGGCCAATTTAGACTGCTTCTGCAGTATAAGAATGGACTAAGCACACCAGAATAAAAAGGTGAAGTACTGTTGATTTATCTCACTGATCTTCCCTTACCAAATCACCATGTGTGTCTGGAATAGAATTCTACATTTACTACCATTGAACAGATGCTGCCATTTTAAAAACAGATGCTGCAAAAACATGGTTCTAGAGCAAGGATCCTCATGGATCCTCAGGGTTTCTGCGTTGGGTCACCATGAACACCCCATCAATGCATTCAAAGGATACTTGCAGTAACTTACAAATAGCATAACCACAACTCTCTCAGTGTAAAATACAACTCCCAAAAACAAATCTATTGTATAGGGCCAAGACATTATCATGCATCTGAAAATAACCACCCGATGACTAAATATCTCTGATAGAAAATGATAGTGTGAGGTGTAAATGATTATGGCTGCAGTCCTAAGAACACATTCCTGGGAGTAAGCCCCATTGAATAAACTGGGATTTACTTCTAAGTAGACCTGTTTAAGGTTCCCAGCACTTCCCACTAAGGCTTGCCTCTGGCAAGAACAAATTTAGTCTGGAAAGCAAGGTAAAGAATGACCAGGATAACATGCAAACTAACCAGCAATCAAGAAAATGTATGCTCTCTCACAGCTTGAGGTTAACTGGAAAGGGAACAAGAACCATGGTGGTAGAAAGCTGAACAGTAGCTAGTATAAAGAGCTGCCTCCCTAACCACAAGAGGCCTTGCTCACTTAAAAAAAAAAACTTGAAGCCTTTACCAGTCACTCATTCTACATTTCCTTTGTTTTTCACTATGGCTATAATAGGTAAGCTAATTTTTTTTAAAAGATACAACTATGATTACTATTAACATTAATAGGGCTTTAGTGGTGCGCCAAGTATTGTAGAGCAGGTCCATGGCCCTAACTCATTGGTTTACAGTCAAAATAGCATACCCAGGATGAGATAGAATATTTGGCAAAAGAATGGCAACAAGGAGCAAACTCACTTTCTCTGAATAGCTTCTTGCCTAAGAAAAAACAAAGACAAGGAAAGCATTATAAGAAAACCGTCTACAGCATACTTAAGACCAGAAGTACATTTGAATTACATCAAGTTGGTGAAGAGATGGCTTGCCCGTTGTAATACAACTGGCTCCTATAAGAAGGGGAAGGTTAATAGGTATTCATTGTTTAACCACTGTTTGTTACATGTGTTAAACGGATATTGGATATCGTGTATTGTCCTCTGAATTGGACGCTTGTTAATGTTACGTATTGTATTTTATGGTTTTGAAAAGTTTTCAATAAAAATATTCAAAAAAAAGATGTAAGTAGAGTAGTGGGGAATCAAACCCGGTTCTCCCAAATTAGAGTCCGTGCACTTAACCACTTACAAACTGGCAAGTGTAGATAAATACATAGGAATGAAACAATTATCTTATCCCAGAAATCAATGAGAGATGTTCCTGGGATTCTGGTAGCAGAGGATCCTACTTTAATAGCTCTGGGTTCAGTTTCAATCTTGGTTCATAGGTCTCCCTTGCAAATTGTGGGAAATGAACCACACACAGTGTGAGAGGTATACAGAAAACAAATGCACTTTCAAGGAAATCAGCCCATCAAATATTGATTAAATGTTGTATGCTACTTACTGATACTGCAGATGAGTAGTTATAATGGCCATTTTCCTTAAACTCTGCAAAGGACAAAAGAGGACATTAAATGTCCTTTCCCAGTATGAATCTGTCAGTGTAGTCATTTCATGGGGGAATCTTCATTCATCAGAAGCCATTATATATTACTATCTCCCAGGGTTGAGTATCTGTTGCTCTGAATAATCCCAGTTTTTAAAAGCCAGCTTCATTATAAAGTGAGAATTTTCATTATACTAAAAATCTAGCTATTCCTTGGCTGGGAGGGCAGGTTAGCAATTTAATAAAATAAAATAAAATTCTGATCATACTGCATCTTATGTTGCATCACCCAGGCAGATGGGTGTCATTAATTAACAAATCAGCACTTTTCAGAGCATGGAAAACGTGTTAATGAAACTTTTCAGCCAAAACAGTTTCTAGCACTTCTTTTCCAATTTAATTTAATTAATTTATTTACTAATCGCATTTATACCCCACCCTCCCCACAATGCAGGTTCAGGGCGGCTCACAGTCAGTACATAAAATACTGTTAAAACCACGTAAAACAATTCCATTATTAATACAGTTTCATAAAGTGCAGAAGATAGTTACTCAAGATGGTTTAATTCAATATACTCTCTAAAGATCCTTCTGCTCCAGATCTTCCTGCGGCTGGATGTTAAAACCAAGAGCCAGGGCTCTATAATGGTGGCGGCATCCTTGCTGAAAGCCTGGCGGGAGAGCTCCGTCTTGCAGGCCCTGTGGAACTGCAAGAGGTCCCGCAGGGCCCTGATCTCCTCCAGGAGCTTGTTCCACCAGGATGGGGCTGCCACCGAGAAAGCCCTGGCAGTCACAAGCCTGGCCTCTTTTGCGCCAGGGAGGGTCAATCGATTTTGAGATCCCGACCGAAGTGCTCTCTGGGGTATATATGGGGAAAGGCGGTCCCGCAGGTATGCTGGACCCTGGCCATATAGGGCTTTAAAGGTAAGAACAAGCACCTTGAAGCGGATTCGGTATGCTATTGGCATTTAACACAACATTCTGTCTTCCTCAAAAGGAGAACAAGAAGCAGATAAGCACCAACAATGAAGACATCAGGAGAGCAGAAGCCACCAACTGACAGCCCCTCCCCAAGGAACATTTTTATTGAACTGCTGTGCGCATTGTCTTGATTACTGTGTGGCACTTGACTGAAAAATAAAATATACATACATACACTTCAAAGTTTTTATCCTATGAGGAGCAAACAAAATGACTTTGAGATTTGAAATTCATATTTTTAAGCTTTACAAATCATCACATTTGGGCTGGATGTAGGCCATCATACTTCATGCCACCAGCTACTTAGTGCAGCTCACCCTGAACAGAAACTGTAATCAAGTGCCATAGGCTTGATAATTTTGCTTGCTGTTGAGAAAAGGAGAACAGAACTTTGTTCTCACTTACCACCCATTACTAGTTTTCAGTTTCACTCCCATTGTTGCTCAGCTGTTTTATTAAAAGAAAAAACTGAGCATTGGCAGAAACAATATACTGATCCAAAACAGTCATAAGAAACCATTTATATAGCTCTGTCTACTATTCCCTCATTTCAAAGTTTATTTTTACAAAAATATATATTTATTTATTTATTAAATTTCTACCCCGCCCTCCCGCCGAAGCGGCTCAGGGCGGCTTACAAGCAATTTAAAACCAACATACAGTTTAAAACCAGCAAATACAAAATATAAAATGCAATTCATACAATTTCAATAAATACAATAAGACTAAGTAAATAAATACAGCAGCATCCTATAATAAAGTGCTAGTGCGGCCCCACCGGAGCAGTCAGTTTTTATTGGAACACTTGGCAAAACAGCCCCATTTTTACGGCTCTACAGAACTGCTGGAGGTCCCGTAAAGCTCTAATCTTGTTGGGGAGCTCGTTCCACAGCGTTGGCGCCACCAGGAAGAACACCCTGGTCCTAGTTACCGCCAACCTGGCATCCCTAGGCCCAGGGGGGGCCAGGTGGTGTTGTGTTCCAGACTGCAGTGCTCTCAGGGGAACATACAGGGAAAGGCGGTCCCCCAGGTAGGCAGGCCCCTGACCATTTAGGGCTTTAAAGGTCAAAACCAGCACCTTGAAGTGAATCCAGAACACTATTGGCAGCCAGTGCAACGACTTCAGCACAGGCTAGATGTGCTCCTACCTGGGGAGGTCCATCAACAGCCTGGCTGCCACGTTTTGCACCAGCTGCAGCTTCCGGAGTTGCCCCAAGGGCAGCCCCATGTAGAGAGCATTACAGTAGTCTAGCCTCGAGATGACCATAGCATGGATCACTGAAGCCAGATCATAGCGTTTGAGGAAGGGGAACAACTGCCTAATCAGCTGAAGATGGTAAAAGGCTGCCTTGGCAGTGGCTGCTACCTGGGCCTCCATTGTCAAGGAACCATCCAGGAGCACTCCCAAACTCCTGACCCTCGGCGCTGGCACCAGCAGCGCCCCACTCAAGGCCGGAAGAGGGACCCCTAACCCCCGAGCCACTCCAATTCAGGCAAAGGACCATCTTCATTGGATTCAATTTCAGTCGACTCAACCTAAGCCAATCCCGCCACGTCCTGCAACGCCCGGTCCAGATCTTCCAGGGTAGAGGCAGACTGACCGCCCAACAACAGATAGAGCTGGGTGTCCTCTGCATATTGATGACACCCAAGCCCATGCCTCCAGGCAACCTGGGCAAGGGGGCGCATATAGATGTTAAATAGCATTGGGGAGAGCACTGCCCCTTGGGGCACACCAGAAACTAGTGGGTGCCTTCAGAACATCTCCTCCCCAAGTGCCACCCTTTGTCCCTGACCCTGGAGAAAGGCGACAAGCCATTGCAAGGCCAGCTCCCGAATCTCCACGTCGGTGAGGCGGTGGGTGAGCAGCTGATGATCGACCATGTCGAACGCCGCCGACAGGTCTAACAGCAGCAGCACCGCCGTCCTGCCCCGATCCAGATGCCTCTGGAGGTCATCTGTGAGGGCGAACAGTGCTGTCTCCGTCCCGTGACCAGGACGGAAGCCGGACTGGGAGGGATCCAGCATGGAAGTGCCATCTAGAAAGCTCTGCAACTATCGCCACCGCCCTCTCTATTAATCTGCCCAAATAGGACAAATTGAGGACCGGCCAATAGTTGACCAATTCGACCGGGTCCAAAGATGTTTTTTTAAAGAGAGGGTGGACCATCGCTTCCTTGAGAGCCCCTGGGAATAGGCCCTCAGAGAGGGACCTGTTGATAATGTCCCTAAGGGTGCCTTGAAACCCCTCGTGGCCAGCTTTAATTAGCCAGGAGGGGCATGTGGTTGGACGTACAGTTGAGATCAATATGTCAACTTCCTCTAGGCTGAGAGGGCCAAAATAATCCAGAATGGGACCAGAAGACGTGCATGGGGCCTCGAGTTCACATACTGTCTCAAGTGTGGCCAGGAGGTTGCGGCGGAGCAACAAGACTATCTGCAAAATAGCTCGCAAAAGCCTCACAGCCTATATCCAATTCCCTAACATTTTGACTGCTCTGTGGCAGGGTGGTTAAAGACCGAATCATTCTATACAATTGTGCCGGGCATGAGCTTGCAGACGCAATTGTGGCTGCGTAGAATTCCTTCTTCGCAGCCTTGGTTGCCATCTCATACGACTTCATAAACGTTCAATAGGATGCTCTGGTCGCTTCGTCACGAACCTGCCGCCACTGTCTCTCTAGCTGTCTGAGCCTTCGCTTCATCAGCCTCAGCTCCTGGGTATACCAAGGAGCCACCCTTGAGCAAGGGTGCAGAGGGCGTCTGGGAGCGATCTCGTCAATGGCCGCCAAGAGTTGGCTAATCCTCGACTTGCTCATCTAATGAGCCGCCAGGGGGCAATGGATCCTGGAGAGCCATTTGAAACCGCAGTGGGTCCATTAGGCTCCGTGGGCGAGCCAAAATCTGCTCGCCGCCCAAACAGGGTCGGGGTGATAAGTTCACTCGGGCCCTCAGGGCATAGTGGTCCGACCATGGTAATCCGGTCCACTGTAACCCCCGCTGCGAAGATCAAATCAAGCATGTGACTGGCCTGATGAGTGGGGGCCGTTACATATTGGGAGAATCCCAGCGCTGCCATGATCGATGCCAGGTCCACTGCCCGGGAGGAGGCCGCATCGTCGGCATGGACGTTGAAATCACCCAGGACTAACAGCCTAGGGTGTTCCAACGCCCAGCCCGACACGGCCTCCACCAGAGAGGGCAGGCTGTCCGCCGATGCGTTGGGTGGACGGTACACTAGCAAGACAGCCAAACTCTCCCCGGCTTCCCACACAAAGCCGGCACATTCAATGCCTGTGATCCTCACCACTGGGAGCACCCTGAAGGAGTAAGCCTCCCGAATGAACAAAGCCACTCCTCCCCCCGACCGCAAAGTCCAAGATTGGTGAAGGACTGAGAACCCAGAAGGAGCCAACTGGGAGAGAGCAAACATCTCCCTGTCTCGTACCCAGGTCTCGGTCACACACGCCAGATCCACGTCCTGCTCCAGCAGGAAGTCCTGCAGGACTGAGGTCTTATTGTTTATGGACCTGGCATTGCACAACACCAATGTTGGAGAGGAGTTTTTTATCCTTGCCCCACTGTCTGCCACCTTTGGGATGGGACACAGGCTGGAAGGTGGCCAAGCTTCTCTATTTCTCTGCCCCCTTCCCTTCCATCTCCACCTGGTTCCACCGCTATACCTTCCCCTTCCCAAGAGCACTGGTATTCCCTGCTTGGCCATTGGTGATCTTCGTCGGCCGCACTCGGCTCGAGCCACAGACTCCCCCATTAGTTGGCAGTATTCCAGCCTACTGCATGCTGCTACTATTTGCTAAAAGGCAACCCATTTATAATTAACTTCTGACTGTTCCTAATCCAATTACAATACTGGGTCTATCCTAATCCTGCTCTTGCAGCCCTAACATTAATCTTATAGCTTCTGGTTGCCTCTTTTTCTATTTTTCTATTTTCCCTTATCTAAATCTACTTTCCCAGCCAGTGAACTACATAAAGGTTGGGAATCAGTGGCATATCTGCTAAAGCTAATGTCAAGACTACCATAAATCAAATATAGGGCCGTTAATACAATTAAATATTGGTTGCATCTCATTAAATAGAACCCTACATCTGATTAAATCCAACCCCCAATTAATTAAATAGCTTAGCAACAACAATTAATTAAAGCCCACTCTAAATCAACACTCACCAATTAATTGGCAAATTAACAATTAGTTAGCAGCAACTAAATCCACCCCCAATCAATTGGGCAGTTTAACAACAATCAATCAACACCCTCTCTAAATCAACCCCCCAAATAATTGGCAAATAACAATTAACTAGTAGTGCTAATCAACCCACCAGTCAATTTAATCAGACCAATTTTTTTTAAGACTGCCCTCAAAAGAATTTTATTGAAATTTTTACATATTTTACAGACACAAAATAAACATATAAACATACATACATGCACACATGTATGGGGATTATTATTCTTTTAAACAAACATTATGCTTATGCCTGATCCTCCTTAATCTCTATTCTTGTATATTATGTGAAGTAACCCTTCAACTCTACCTCAATCGAGTATCTACTTTCTAATAAACAAATAGTCGGTCCGTTATAAACTAATCAGACCAAATCCATCAATTTAAGCAACAATTACAGCAGTTACTTATATAAGTCGTAGCAGCAGTCCGGTCCAAATCGATCTTCTTCAGGCCTCTTCACCTCTGGAGATCTGGATATTAGCGGGTAACTGGGTCTTAGCGCTCGGGCCCAGAGTCTCACTCCTAGTGGCAGTCGCTGGATCTCCTGCTCCTTCTTAGAATTCCAGAGCAGTCAGAGCACAGTTCTAGACAGTTTTCTCTTGATGCAAAATATCACTCCACTTGTCCTCCCTCACTGTCGCGAATGGGTGCTAAGGTCCGGAGAAGTTGTAGTCCCCCTATCCCGGTGCCAATCTCCCAAGGGGGAGTAGACGGAGCCCCACCACTCTCGGGGCGAACACACAACTCCCAAGGAGGGGGATCAGCCTGGGTCGGAGCAGATGCAGCAGTCGGTGCGATCATCCAGACCTCACAAGCCTGATGGCACTCGGCTTGAACGATCCGTTCGTCCCACACCTGATGGTGCTTGGCTCGGGCTGGAAGAAGGAGGGTCCCCTGAAAGACGCCACCACCACCCCCCTGAGCACCCAAGCCGTCCGGCGCTCCTCTATGGCTGATCGCTGCACAGCTCTGATTGCATGGCAGTGATTGCAAGCCTTCATTTACTAGCAAGCAAAGCTTTGTTATAACTGTCCAAAATATAGTCTTTTTCCTTAAAAGTAATATAGTGTGTGTGTGTGTGTGTGTGTGTGTGTGTGTGTGTGTGTGTATATATATATATATATATATATATATATATATATATAGAGAGAGAGAGAGAGAGAGAGAGAGAGAGAGAGAGAGAGAGACATTGCTTACAGCATCTGATATTCAATATGTTAAAATAGATAAACATGATCTGGACTTCTCTCATTTTAAACAACTTAACCATAGGCTCCCATTGAGAATTGCTTTCACAGAGCAGAAAAGCTGTTTTAAACTTTTTCCCACCTTAGCTGGCTAATGGTGTTAGGTCATCCTGACCTAAGTCAAAACCTGCATTTCAAAGGAACACATAGCGATTCTCATAACCATAAATCTAGAACTCTAGACAAGTCTTCAAAATTGGCTGCACATCACAAGACACTCCTTTTCTTTCAGAGCTAAAAACATGTCAAAAAAGATTTACATTAATTGGTCAAGCTAGTGTTCTTAAAGCTAGGTGTCAACTCTCCCAGGAAATTCCCAAAGAACTTAAGCTTTTCATTGGTCTCATTGAAGCAGCAATGATCAATTAAAAATCATTTGGGAGCTCTAGCGCCCCCTACAGATGTATAGTGTTTCTTTCAAATGAAACACAAATTGGTATCAGGTCTCAGCTCTGTGTCTGGACTGTAATCCAACATTACATTCTCTGCCATTCATACAGTGTTAGGTTACCTATGCATCAGGCAAAACATTCAGTTTTATGAATAAAACTTCTCTTACATCTTCAGAGTGCAGGATAGCATCCTCTTGCATCACCATGTTTCTGGCAGCCTGCCCAAGGAACTGAAAGACATGGAAGTGTCAGTAAGAGATTCAGGTTTAATGATCTATGGAGTTAGTAATACAAAGCTCAGCATGTACTCAGCAGCTATAATTCTGCTCACAGTCAGGCTGCTTTAATTCTTAACACAAACTTTGTGTCATATTTTTATCAGAGCCAACTAAAACATCGTAAAATAGTAGGCAAGCTTTCAAGAGCTCCAGAACTTTTTATTAGGCATCATATTCAGTACCCCAAAAATGTAGGAGAAAGAAAATAAGTTATTTCATGATATGATGAAAAGACAAGTGGGCAGTAAGCAGGACTGTTGCTCAGATCAAGAGGAATTTCCTGGATATAAAACAGATTTATACACCCCCCCCCCAAAAAAAAAAGTTTTCTGAAACAGTCTCTTCATATAGGATAAAAATGTGTTGCAAGTTACATAGTCAAGAGAGTCAAACAAAACAAGCAAATGAAACACCCTGATACCTCCTCCCATATGAACTTACCAGTGTACTCCAGTCATCTTCAGTGGCCCTGTTTTTGTTGCCCTCACCAACTGAAGGTAGATGGGTAGCACCCCAAGAAGGCCTTCTCGGTCGTGGCACCAAAACTTTGGAACTCCCTGCCCAAGGAGTGTCTTTCACTAGCAGGTGAAGACTTTTTGAATTTCATCTGGCATAGCCCCAGTAACAGTAGCTGGCCCTCCTTTTGGTGTTATTTATGTGTTTTAATTGAATTACTTTATAACTTTAACTGTATTTTTAATTACTTATGTTTTAATATTTGTTATGTTCACTGCCCTGTGGACCCTGATTGGGTGAAAAAGGGGGATGAAAATGTTTTAAATAAATAACCGGTTAGCTGTTTATTATGTTATTATTATTCCTGTAGCAACCCCAGTATATGATGCCTTATAAAGAAGATTCATGGTTCACTTACAACCTACATTTCCATAATGAAAGAAAACAAAACAGAGAGACAGTCAGGATGAGAGAGGGGAGGCTAAGGCAACAAAGAATGAATTAGAACAAATGTAGGTTCACATACTTATGCTTTGTCTGACTGGGAGTAGAAAATGTTAACTGAATCATACAGTCCAAACATCCATATCATATGTCAGGAGGCAAAGACTCATTTATCCTCTGAAAGGAACTCTCCTGTCAGGCAATATGCCTTTTTTCTTAGCAATATGTTAGTCAGAAGACCCCAGTTGACAAGGGAACATTTGGAGATGTCCTTTTGTGTCTAGAGGATAGAGCTCTGCTCACCAAAATGTAGTATTATTGATAGTTATACAATCTGGAGCTACACAGTACAGGCAGGCTTGCCAGAGGCTTAATTTGTGAAAATGGGCAATTAAGTTTTTCACAGCATTGAGGTATATCATCTTGTAAATAACATCCCATTAAGCTTTTATTGAAAGGTCAGGACATTTTTATTCCAGCCTATTGGCAACCCTGGTCCACTTTCTGGGCAGCTTCAAAGCACATCAGAACTACCTTGCATGTGGGGGGGGGGGGCAGAGGACACACTAGAGCAGAGGTAGGCAATCCCCAGCATGGATCCCCACCAAACAGTAGGATCCCAAACCATTTTGCTGAGCAGACTGGGCAAACCCTCTGCCTGAAGGACTGAGGCAAGCCCCAGAGGTGTGTTAGGACAAGTACAAACCTTTACCCTCTCACCCCAATTTATCTACCAGCACACTAAAATCTATACAGGGAAATGCTCCAGGATTTCTTTGCACTTGGACCAAAAAAGTTGCCCACCTCTGTGCCACAGTATATTTACACTATTTGCTGCTCCTTTCCTTTTGGAATTACTGTGGGGCATTCTCCTACTACTATACAACTAATGCTTGACTAGCAATATTTTGATATTACTGCTGGAAAAAAATATAAATAAATTTACTGCCCTTTCTCTTAGACTACTTGAAAAAGTACAGACCCAGCCCTTTCAGTGCTTCTTGACAGGAAACCTGGGTTTGATGGGGAGTCCTTTTTCAAAAAGAGCCATCTTCACATCCTTATTCAATACAAGGATATATGGCGTAGCTACTAGCTTGAGAACACAGCAAAAAAAGGGTTCTGAACCATGGACACTTATGGATCCTCAGAGATTTAGTGTCGGGTCACCCCAGACTCACCATCGAATCACATATCATGTCCATGGCCACAGTAATCACCACTCAAAACACATATCCACGGCTTTGTGGCAACATCATGATCTAAAAACATGATTCCAAAACACGGATCCTCATGGATCCTTATGATTTTTGCATTGGGTCACCCCAACATCACCATCAAACCACATATCTTGTCCATGGCCATAGAATATACCACAGAAATCACGTGTCCACTTCTTTGTGGCAGCACCATGCTGCAAAAACATTCTGGAGAATGGATCCTCATGGATGCTTGCGGTTTTTGTGTTGAGACATCCCAAAATTACCATTAAATCCCATATCATGTCCATGGCCACTACTTGCACTACAGAATTCATGGATCCACAGCTTCATGGAAATACCATACTACAAAAACATGGTTCTGAAGCACGGATCCACATGGATCCTTATGACTTTTGCACTGGGTCACTCCAAACACACCATCTAATCACATAACATGTCCATGGCAACAGCATGAACCACAAAAATCACGGATCCACAGCTTCATGGCGACACCATTCTGCAAAAACATGGTTCTGGAGTATGGATCCTCATGGATGCTTGGGGGGTTTGTGTTGGGACACCCCAAACATACTATTAAATCCCATATCATGTCCATGGCCACTACTTGTACCACAGAATTCATCGATCCACGGCTTCGTGGCAACACCATGCTACAAAAACATGGTTTCGAACTACAGATCCTCATGGACCCTTAGGGTTTTTACATTGGGTCACCATAAACTTACCATCAAATCACATATCACGTCATGATACGTGATTTGATGGTGAGTTCAAGGTGACCCAACGCCAAAACCCTGAGGATCCATGAGGATCCGTGCTTCAGAACCATGTTTTTTCAGAACAGTGTTGCCATGGAGCTGTGAATCCGTGATTTTTGTGGTGCAAGCTGTTGCCATGGCCATTATATTGATTTGATGGTGTGTTCATGGTGACCCAAGGCAGAAACCCTGAGGATCCATGAAGATCCTTGCTCTAGAACCATGTTTTTGCAGCATGGCATTGCCATGAAGCTGTGGATCCGTGATTTTTGTGGTTCAAGCTGTTGCCATGGACATATTATGTGATTTGATGGTGTGTTTGGGGTACCCCATTGCAAAAACCCAAAGAATCCATGAGGATCCATGCTTCAGAACCATGTTGTGGCTTCATAGTGTTGCCATGAAGCTGTGGATCCATGACTTTTGTGGTGCAAGCTGTGCCCATGGACATGATATTTATTTGATGGTGAGTTCATGGTGATCCAACACAAAAACGCTGAGGATCCATGCTTTGGAACCATGTTTTTGCAGCATGGTGTTGCCACAAAGCTGTGGATTCATGATTTCTGTTGTGCGAGGGGCCATGGACATGATATGGACTCATGATTTCTGGGGTGCAAGCTGTGGACATGGACATGATATGTGATTTTATAGTGATACTGGAGTGGCCCAATTGAAAAACCCTTAGGATCCATGAGGATTCGTACTTTGGAACCATGTTTTTGCACTTTTGTGGTGCCACGAATTCGTGGAGGCATGATTTTTGTAGTACTGCTTATAGTCTAAGACATGGTCTTCAGAATGATGGTGGTTTTATTTCTTTTCAGTGTAAAAATCATATGAATTCATGAGGATCTGTGCTTTGTAATCATGTTTTTGCGCTGTTGTGGTGCCACGAATCTGTGGATGCGTGATTTTTGTGGTGCTCCCTAATAGACTAACACATGATCTACAGTATGATGGTGGTTTTATTTTGTTTCAATGTAAAAATCATATGAATTCATGAGGATCCATGTAGATCCAACTTTTACCCAGACCCCTTCTTTACTATGTGTTGGACTGGTAGTAAGAACAATACATAAGAGAAGTACTTTACCACTGTTACTGCTGAGAATGATATAATACTACAGTTTTAAATACATTATAATCTGTACACATAGAGCAGCAATTTACCCACATTTCTACTGGCACTTTTCAGGAGAAATTAACTGGCAGCTTGCCCGGAATTACATCTGTTTCGGTGCCCCTGACTTCAAACCAGAATAGGTGGATAGAAGATTGCCCTCACCAAGTCCTAACTCTCCAAGACAGGATATCTTTAGAAATCTGAACGATGGAAGTGGCCAGGTGGCCAAATGCTAAACATATGTTTCTACATCTCACCTGGCGAGATAATCATGGACACAGGAAAAGGAAGATGTCATTAAAAATAGTGACCGATCACCATACCAAGAACCTACAAGTCCCACCATGCACTGCGTTCCCTTTCAGTTTGTCAACAGGTCTTCCCTACGCGGTGCTCGCTGGATTTAGTAGTCTCACTCACCTCGGCGCTCCGAGATCCTCTCAGCACCTGTTTGGTGAGGGCGATAACATCAGTGCCACAACTGGTCACCTTCTCGGTCAGTAACCCCTTAACGGAATGGCCGAATCGAGCCTGAGCATCCATGGTGCTTCCCGCTGGAGATGCCGCCATTTTACTAATGTTACCTTTCCCAAATGTGCCAGTTTCTCAAGCTTAAAAAAAAATAAAAATGTAGCGACGGCGAGCGAAAAGGGGCAAAACAAATGAGAACGCACATTGCAGCGATCGTCGCTGGAGTGTCGGTTTTCTTTTCCCTGGCATCAGCCTTACTGATGCCGTCGACCGAGGGTCTTAGCCACACTTCCACTTCACAAGGAACAGTAATTTACAAACAATTAATGTATTTAATGAACCCTTACAAAAGGTAGATTCAGCTGGGTAGCCGTGTTGGTACGAAGCAACAGAACAATGTTTGAGTCCAGTGGGACCTTTGAGACCAATAAAGTTTTATTGTGTGTGTAACCTTTTATGTGCACGCACACTTCTTTACACTTCATACGAAATCTTATACCCAGAATAAACCTTACAAAAGGGTTACTGTTTCACGAAAGCATATACTATAACACATTCTGTTAGTGTGCAAGGGGCTACTGGACTATTGCTTTATTTAGCAGGGCTGTTTAAGACATTTTGAGGCCAAAGCACTTTTCTGTGGCACGGCAGAGTCAGGCAGACTCCCGTGGCGGTAGCTGTGCTTTGGATCGGGGCTCCTCCTACTGTATAACCTGTGCTGCGTCAGGGGTGTTCCAGAGGCCGCAACACTTTTGATCTAGGCAGCAGGAAGCATCTTTTTACACTATCCCGACAGATTTCAGTCCCAAAGTGTAATTGGCCTGTACAGGTAACACTGCCCATAGGAATTATTAATTACATAAGATAGTATCCAAAATGCTTCCAGTGTTTGTAGAATACACAAACCTTGCTGAGAATCTTACCACCATTCTGAAGTCTGAAACAGCACTATAATATAAAGATACTTAGCACACAATTACAATTAAAGGCTTAGGAACAGTACATTCAAATCTGTAATGGAAATACCTGAGGAATAAGACTACAGATAAAAAAACAATCATGATTCTTGCAGAAATGTCAGTATAAGTGGATAATAAGGAAGAGAGAGATAAATAGAATATATTTTAGTTAGTTGGAAAAATCTGTAAAGTTCAGCTGGTGAAATTAAAGAGAAGACATTAATCTTACCCTGCACACTAGAGTTCATTGGATCCTTCTATCCACAAGGGAGTAGAAGTCCTCTACAGTAAAAAACTCAACATTTTTACACAGTCACTCAATTTAACTTAAATTGTATAAGAGTCAAATATTCTTTGTACTTTGGAATAACATTTTAGGTAGTATTTGAAAGATCTCTTTTTTACTGAAACTGACCTTGAAATAACAACATATAGAGCTATATGACATGCTGTACAAATTTTAAATTACAGTGAATGGCTGGTTGTTCCGCCTGTAACCTACATGTCATCTCTGACCTACATTTTATATGCTGGCCAACTCAATTTAAGATGTCTTATCAGCAGTTCATCACTATTATATACTGCAAAGCAAGCAAAATCACAGAAATATCTATTTACAGCTTGGTCTTGGAAATGTTATATAATTTATTTACAATATAATCTGCAGCAGAGTTGGTCAATGGGTTTAGAATGGTGTGACTGTAAACAAAATTGTGCTGTCACTTTCCTACTCCAAGTAAGTTAACTCTGTCCCAAGGATACAACAGATATTAAGCAGGAAAAGAAGGAATGTGTGAATTGAACTCTTTGGTTGTCACAGTAACCAATGTCCCCTCTAATTTCCCCCCCTACTGAGTGGAGCAGTTCACATCCTGAGCAGAATATAACTGCTGTAATCTTAAAATGGGAAATGGACAGTGCAAGACCCTGTGCGGCTTCATAGGGCTGCTGAGCAGGGCTTCCTGTGTGTATGAGCAGCCGCTCATGTGCACAGCTTAGAGAGAACATTGACAGTAACCCATTGGGGGATCTTATCTGGAAATCCAGAACATCTAATCATTAATGCAGAACACAGTACCTACCCTTTATCCATTACCTTGAGCTGTGCGAGGAAGTAAAGTCTCAAGAGATGACAATATTTATGAACATCAAATTGAACCTGCCATCTGAGGTAGTTCTGGAACCTCCTACTGATAGTGGGGATGTTACAAACACCAGGCCTCAAGGACAGTAAAAAAAATATGGTCCCAAGTGCAATGAAAACATGATTTGCACCAGTAAAACATTCACATACATGCTTACCAGTTGACAGGAGAGCAGAGAATGCTCAAGCAGTTGTGTAACAAGGAATATAAGCTACTAGCTGGTAACAGTTTCGATTTTTCTTCATGAGTTCTTACATCTATGAATGTTGTCTTTGATTGTGTCATTTATTAATGCTAACTGCACAGTCTTAGTTCCTTGACCATCCATACAAGTAATATTTTGGTCAGCTATTGCAGTGATAGTCATGACCATGCATATGAAATCTATTTTTCATGTCATTAATTTCAGGATCCCCCCGCCCCCCATATTCATTGCTGTCATGATCTTACAAGTTAAATTTGAAGGATGTTGTGCTTCCCACTTTTGATGGAACTGAGTTGATCCTTGCTGAGTTGGTTAAGAGCCTAGAAGATACACTGCTTCATCATTACCACTGAAGAAGCAAATTAATGCAGCTCTAAAAACCACTTTCTTTCAGCTTTGTCAAGTCTGGAAGATGTCCCCATACATTGACTCAGCCTATCTAGCCACCTGGCTCCACATGTAACACAATAACATTGAGACTAGACTATTGAAAGGTACTCTACAAAGGTCTGCCCTCAAAGACAGCTCAGAGACTCCTGTTAGTACAGAACACCACACTCAGTTATTATCAGAAGCTAGGCAGAGCATGCATATTACACCCATGCTGCAGTCACTGCATATTACACCCTGCACTGCAGTAAAGTTACCAGACTCAATTCAAAGTCCTGGGTATCACATATAAAGCCTTTCATGGCCTTGGACTCTCATGAAGGACCTCCTCTCCCTTTGTTCCTCACCATGAAAGCTTCATTTATCTGAGAAGGGCTTTCTGGGGTTACCACTCTGCAAATGGGTGAAATCAACAACTACCTATATATGGGTGTTCTCTGTTGGGGTCCTTCCCATCATCTGGAATGACCTGCCTGAAAAGGTCAGAAAGGCCCTTGCATTCAGGGCATTCCACAAAAAATTTAAAACAAAATAATTCAGGCAGAAGGACCATATTATGATGCAATGGTTCAAGAAGGTGACTTAATAAAGGAAACAGGACTGTGTGCTACACTACTGTATATAGTATATCAATCAATATATCTCTACCTAGCCAAATCTGAGATTACTTAAATCCAGAGACTGGAGCTGTGAATAGACAACAGATCTTTCTACAAACCTGAAAAATGTCCCAGGTTTGCTAATTGGGTTAAAAAAACCAAAATTATAAAAGGAGCTTCTGTAGCTTTAAGAAACAGATGCCCTCAGTGACTGTTGCTAGGTAACCACAACAGTTTTTGCTGACATTCCAGGCTTAGTTTCTGTCAGTAAAAGGCAGGGGAAGGGGCAGGGCATTTACCATGGCTGTTTTAGCCTTTGAGGGAGTAGTCACTGCTCCAGGTGAAGCCAGCTGGGTGGCCCAGGGTCAGTCACAGTTCTCTCAGAACTCTCTCAGCCCCACCCACCTCACAGGGTGTTTGTATGTGGGGATAGGAAGAGAAGGTGATTGTAAGCCGCTCTGAGGTGCCTTTGGGTAGTGAAGACCTGGGTATAAAAATCAATTTTTCTTCTCCTTCTCCTCTGCCTAACCTGGCAGCAACTACCCAGTAAGGTAATAACACATGCTTTATTTATTTATTTATTTATTTATTTCATTTATACCCCGCCCTCCCCGCATGCAGGCTCAGGGCGGCTTACACGGCACAACAGTGCAATAAAATATAACATGTTAAAACAATTTAGGCACACGTGCGATAAAATTACACAATTAGCCATTTAAAATACAATTCAATCTTACAGGATGCATCAGTAGTTAAACATACGCCCTCATTATTCAATCTCAACCGTGAGGTCAACAGAAAGAAGGGGTGCCATGGGCCGAGATGTCCCCCAGTTGGCTAACCAGCCCCCCCGACGGCACTGCTCTGCAGTGCACGATGGTGGTAATAGTGGCGGCAGCGGCTCCTACTCAAAAGCCTGGTGGAAGAGCTCTGTCTTGCAGGCCCTGCGGAACTGTAAAAGGTCCCGCAGGGCCCTGATCTCCTCCGGGAGCTCATTCCACCAGGTAGGAGCCGCCACCGAAAAGGACCTGGCTTTGCATGACTTATGCAGGCATGGCTGCTTGATACTGTTGAACAACAGCCAGAGTTATGTAGTGGTTATAGCGTCAGACTAGTATCCAGAAGACCCAGGTTCAAATCCTCAGTCTGCCATGGAAGCCTGCTGGATGACCTTGGCCCAGTCACACACTGTTTCACAACAGCCTTGTGAGGTAGTTTACATTACAGGGGTGTTGTGGAAATAAAATGGAAGAGAATGATATAAGGTGCTTAGGGTTCCCATTGTAGCAATAGGTGGGGTATATAGTAGATATAAATAATATGCATAGTTGAAGATGGATAGCAGATAAAAGGTTGGTTGTTTGGTAGGTATGAAGGAGAGAAAAAAGCAGGGAAATGTGAGGATATAGGGGTTCCCAGTAGGAGGGAAAG